ACCATTTTTTTATTGCTAGTGGGGGTGTGACTAAGTCCCTTGTACTGCGGCCACTTTTGGCCTATTGTACCAGCCCCAGATGATAGGTGAGGGTGATTGTGGGAAAATTGGTGGAATGAAGATTGGCAGGGGAAAACGAAGTACTCGGAGAAAACCTGCACCAGCGCCACTTTGTCCACCACAAATCCCACTTGACCAGACCCAGGATCGAACCCGGGCCGCGGCGGTGGGAAGCCAGCGACTAACCCCTTGAGCTATGGCGCGGCCCAGAGAGAACTAAGCCTCGTCGTTTGAGTACAGGGCCAAATAATAATATAAAGATATATAACAGATCCTTTGAAAATTGTTGTGAGACGTCGAGGCTCCCAAGTTTTCTAGACAGTCGGTTCACAGATGGCAGCGAGGTTGTCAGCCTTACGCTCCGGCCGTACGTTTACACCTAGGAAGATTCCTAGTACTCATTTCTGTTAGAAGTTGAGTCGAACCCAGGGTCATAGTGCGGCTGGATGAATTAGGTCAATTGAAAAATCCAATGACCCCATTGGGAGCGGAACCCGCAACCTTATATACTTCAAACAGCAGAAGACTAAAATACGTTTCAAGGTCATAAATTATATTTAATGTTGACGTTACAGTTTGTGCGGAAGAAACCAGAAGTTACTTATGCGTACAGTGACGTCACCACTTCCAATGTACGTCAAAGTACGTGCAGAGGTCACTACCTGTGTCTCTAACATTGTAAGACAGAACAAGATTAAAGCAATACAGGACCTGTAGATGCGTGTTTATGTGTAACGGAAATACTCGTGCAACTGTGTGACGCTCCGCCTCTACTTCCAACCTCTTTTCTTTTTACAGGATCCCGTTATGCAACCGCCAGGGCCATTGAGAGGCAATCTCTCTTGTGCTTAATGTGTAATGACCCTACGCGTGTTAAGCAGGCTTGCAGCACCCTGCCCCTTCTTCAGTTTCATTGAACCGTGATTGTCATGGACTGTATGCCCGATGTTTTTGCTTACTAATTCCACGCGGTAGCGTAGTTGGTTGAGGCACTATGCTACAAGCCGGTAGGTCATTAGTTTGAGTCCCGATGAGGTGGATGTTTTCAATTGAACTAATCCTTCCAGCCGCATTATGGCCCTGGGGTCAACTCAGACTCTAACAGAATTGAATACTAAGAATCTTCCTGGGGTTAAAGGGAGGCCGGCCTCAAGCTCACCCACATTTGTGAGCCGATTGTCTAGAGGAAATGTGGAAGCCTCAACGTCTCACAACACTATGAGCATTCACGGCCTGATACAGGGATAGCTTTACCTTATTTTATCTTTAATTCCATAGCCGGAGTTCTTAAGAAGCTGATAGTTGCTAACTAAATTGATTGAGCCCTTCTTGAGAAACCACAAGTTATGCAACTACTCAAGAAATGTCCAGCATTTTATGGGAACGAAAAGTGCATTGTCCTATTTAGAAGAGCCCTCCACTGCTCCCTATCCTGAGCCAGGTCAATCCAGTCCATACCACCCCCATCTATCTCTCTAAGATACATTTTAATTTTGTTACCCCACTTACATCTTTGTCTTCCTAGTGGTCTCTTTCCTCCTGGCTTTCCCACAGCTGATAGCTACTTACTAGAGATAATCTTACTTACGAGACAGTACAAATTTCAGGCTCTGCTGTTATTTCGGATTTATTATTTTGGTTCAGCGTGATAAAATTGTGCAAGAACCAAAATTTGTCGAACAAATCGTCACTCAAATACTGGAGTGTTATCTTCCCACTTTTGGAAGAAAATGAGATAAAGCACTTCCCTTATTCTCCGTATTATTTTGCACTATCTCCACATGCTGACATACGTTTGCCTTATTTGCAACTGTGATTATTTAGAATACGTTTTGTTCAAAATCATATTTAAACCGCTGTCGGTTGCATTAATTCAAACACAGTTTCCTGAAAATTGGTGTTAATGCGCATGGCACTCCAGTACTCAAGTGACTGATTAGGCCTCCCTAACAAGGAGCTTCATAATTTGATTTCCTCGCCGAATATTAGTATGTTGATTATTTCTACTTCTGCTGTGACGCCCGTGCGATTCCTTTATTGGGTGTCTTTTGGCAGCTATAAACGACTTAACTGAAGAGAACAGAGTAAAAGTAAAATGTGATACAGTTCAGATATTTGGGGACATCAATAACAAATCAAAATTTGGATCGGGAGGAAATTAAGAGGATTCTGGATTCGGGTAATGCTTGCTGCCATTCAGTCCGTAACGTTTTGTCTTTTCGTCCGCTGTCTAAAAACGTAAAAATTACAAAACACAGAAATGTAATTTTGCCTCTGGTCCTGTATGGGTATGAAACTTGGTCTCTTACATTAAGGGAAGGGACATAGACTGAAGGTGTTTGAGAACAGGGTGTTGAGGAGAATATTTGGACCGAAGAGTGATGAAGTTACAGGAGGTTGGAGAAAACTACATAATGAGGAGCTTCATAACTTGTACTCTTCTCCAATTATAATTAGAATGATCAAGTCAAGGATGATGAGATGGACTGGTATGTAGCACGAATGGGGAGAAGTGGAATCCATATAAGATATTGGTGGGAATGCCAGAAGAAAAGAGACAACTAGGAAGAAAAAGAAGTAGCGGAGTGGACAATGTTAGAATGGATCTTAGAGAGATAAGATGGGATGGGGTGGGGGTATGGATTGAGTTGCTCTGGCTCGGGATAGGGGCAAGTGGAGGGCTCTTGTGAACACGGTAATGAACCTTCAGGTTCCATAAAATGCTGGGAAATTCTTGAGTAGCTGCAGAATTGGCGGCTTCGCAATAAGGGCTCAGCTCCATAAAGTTAGTTAGTTAGTTAGTAAAAGGTATAACCGTGAGAACTCAGTCGGTATAACGACGGGCTACGGTCTAGACTGCCGAGGAATCCAGTTTCGATTCCCACTCGGGGCAAAAGATTTTTGTTTTCTCCCTAGCTTCCAAACCGACTCTAGGCCTTATCCAGCCTCCTATCTATTGGTTACGGGGGGCTTTTTCGCCGGTGGATAAAAGGTCCAGGCCATGAACTTCAACACTTACCTCTACGTAGTGTCGAGGTTAAAAATTACGTGAAACTGTACTTCCATAAGTGTTCATGGCGTAGCGGTTGATTAATCAATCACAGAAAGAGGTTCATCTTCACCTTTATTAGAGACGAACTTGGAATAACATGTCAGTGCAACATTAAAACAAATAAACATCAGAAGAAATGGCTAGAACCTAGAAATAGCCCGAGAAAACGGAAGATCTCAGTTAGGATCCTGACATAACATTCACTTGCATCGCCCTTCTTCTGTTGCAGACTCAGATGGGGTGCAAGTCGGGTGGCACTGACGAATCGACTTACCACTGGGTTACTGATGAGGAGACAGTGAGCACTTTCCTAGCTACGTTCGTTTTGCATCATTCTGCGACATAGTTTCACAGTAACCTTTTCAGCGCATGAAGGTCACTAGCGAAGCACGTGGTTTTGTAACCGTAAAAAAGGTAAAGCTGTCCCTGTAATAGTCCGTGGGGCCCCATAGAGTTGTGAAACATCGAGACTTCTAGACAATCGGCCCACAGATGGCAGTGAGGTTGTCAGCTTTATGCGCCAGCCGCACCTTTACCTCCAGGAAGATTCCTGATACTCATTTCTATTAGAGGTGAGTCGACCCCAGGGCCAGTGAGGCTGGAAGTATTAGGTCAATCGAGATATCCAATGACCTCATCGGGAATCGAACCCTCGACCCTCCGGCTTGTAGTATAGTGCCTCAACCAACTACGCTACTGCGTGCCCCATTTTTGTAACTGTAACTTCAGAAAGTAAATTTGGTAAGTACATTTGAGAATAAGTAGGAAATGTGCATGAATATGTTACACTTCTCGTATTCGCTAGGTCCAGGGTTCAGTTCTCAGTTGGGAGAAGGATATTCTTATTGAATTTTAATGAGTTATCTTGTCAGATGCTGACGTAATAACTCGAATTATGAAGCGAACGGTTTCTTTTGTATACGTTTCCATTAACTCCCCATGAATCATCCTACAATTAGATGCTAAATAGTGTGAGCTATTGAAACGTCGTTAAATTATTTTATTCATAACTCGTTTAACAACGGACTTACTAACTCAGACTGTCTAGTGTTGAATGGTAAGGTGAAAGTAAAGTTGTCTCTGTGCTTAACTAATTAAGCACTAAGTCATGAAGGCGTATGGGAGAGTGGATGTATAGATCCACATTTTCTTGACCTGGTCACTAGTTGGAGATGAGTGGTGGGCTTCACTCCGTGGTCGCTTTACCCCGTGATAAAAACTCATGTTACCTACTGGATAGGAGGTTGGGTGGACCCCAGAACCGGTCCAGACGAAGTGAAGAGGTGAAAATTCTTACCCCCACCGGGACTTGAATCTGACCTCTCTGTCGTCCAGCCCGTAGCCAGTCGCTATACCGACTGCGCTATCCCGGCTCCTCTATCGTGGAATGGCAAGGTTTCGATTAATAGGGAAGAACGTGAATGCAAGAAATCGTCCTAATACGAAGTACTATTCAAGAATTTACACAGGAGGGGCTGAGTAAAATACGAAAAGCCTCACACAGGAAAGCTCGTGCCCAGGCTGATGTTCGAACTGGGCACCTCCCGAATACAAGTTCGGAGCCTTACCGCTTGAAAGCCAACTTCCTCGGTGCTTCTTATGAAACAGAATCAGTCATAGCAGGAAATAAATTCCATTTGGGACTGCTGTACTTGAAATAGCGTCATTGATTACGGAAATATTAATGAATAGATTAATTTTTATTTGACATCATCACTCGACGAAGTATCATACGTAGCTGAAGCAGCTTCGTGAAATGTCTCAGGAACCACCCCAGAGGAAGAAGATGTAGATTGAACTGGCTTACGATAAAATTAGTGTCTCGTATTGTACAGGGTATAATGCTATAGGTCTCATTTCGATAATTTCATGACTAGCTGAGCGACTGTCAGTTTCTCCAGAATTCTGCTGCGTCAGGCGGAAGAATATGGCATGCAGGAAAACGTTCCTCGCATTGGTCACCATCCTCGGTGACCTCGTCCACGGAGGGCAGATCGCTGTACATTCTCTGCATAGGAGTTAGACGGCTCCAACCCTTCGCGTCTTCGTTGTTCAACAAAGCGCGCACTGCCTTCTGCATCCCGCGCACGAAGGGAGAACTCTTGCACACCAGCAACTGGACACACCCCGTCTCGTCGTCTGTGTAGCGTTCCTGGATCGCCCTGATCACGTGGTCAGTCAGCAGTCGGTCCTGAGCTCGGGACAACAGGTCTCGAAGCTAGGGCAGGCAAGAAAACAGGTATGTCAACAGTGGAGCGTGTTCAATCCATAATCTCGCAATAAAGTGTTGTACTTTGTATGTCGGCCACTAACTGGACTATTGTACCGGCCTCGGATGACAGATGAGTTTGGAACATCTGGTAGAATGAGAATTGGCAGGGGAAACGGAAGTACTCGGAGGAAATCTACCCCAATGTAACTTTTCCCACCACAAATCCCAAACGACCTGACCTGAGATCGAACCCATGCCGCGGTGGAAAACCGGCGACTAACAGCCTGAGCTACGGCGCGGTCTCTGTGTCCACTAAAAGTTTACGTTTTCAAGTAACGCAATTTCATTCGTCAATATATACAGTATACGCTTCTCATATTATAATATGGGTTGGACCACCGAGGACTCGGTGTTCTATTCCCGGCGTGTGTACGTGATCCTTCACTCCTCTATAGCATCTATGGTGTCTCTGGGGCCCACACATCCTCCTGTAAAATGAATACCTAGGGCTACACGTGAATTCTATGCACTCACATCCATTTAGTGCCGAGGTTAAGAATGGTCGAGCTATGCCTCCGCTCTCTTACGTGTTTATGGTGAGGTACTTAATTAATTAAGCCCAAGGATGGATTTTCTCTGACCTGTGCTATAGCATTCTTTATTTTAAAAGGAAAATTAGGTTCCAACTCAAATATCATATCCTAATGTGTGTATGTACAACGTACATGTGTGTGTATATATGTATTGAATGCTTTCAGTCGACCTAATCTTTCCAGCCGCACTATGGCCCTGGGATCGAATCAGCCTCTAACAGATATGAGCACCAGTAATTTTCTTGGGTGTAAAGGGCGGCAGGCGCATAAGGCTGACACCTGCACCGCCATTTGTAAGCCGATTTTCTAGAAAATATGGCAGCCTTAACATCTCACAACCCTATGGACCTCCACGGCCTGCTACAGGGATAGCTTTATCTTTGCGTATATGCGTGCATATATGTATGTGTACGCGCTTCTCAAAGAGTTCTACAAGAATTTGATGGCTTTGTTTCAATTTGGTATAGCTCTCATGTTACTAAAGCCCGCTTTCTAATTCCAAATTTCCTGCCAAACGCCGCTCGATATTATTATTATTATTATTATTATTATTATTATGGCCACTTTTCAGTTTCTTCACCTGTATCTATATCTGTAAAGGCTGCGCCATAGCTCAGCCCTTAGTCGCTGGCTTTCCACCGTTGCGGCCCGGGTTCGATCCCGGATCTAGTCAAGTGGGATTTGTGGTGAACAAAGTGGCGCTTGGGCGGGTTTTCTCCGAGTACTTCGGTTTCCCTCGCCAATCTTCATTCCACCAAATTCTCCATCATCATAATCACCCGGGGCACGTACAATAGGCCAATCAGTGGCCGCCGTGCCAAGTGGACCCAGTTGGACTCCACCTCCCACTAAGCGAAATTAAATAAACGTATATCTGTAGCTCTGAGAGCTAGAATGATTTGTGAACAGTGAATTGGATATGATGCGTTAGTTGATGTGGCCTAATTTGAGGCCAGGAGGGACTGAGGAATGTTAGTAATTCATAATATTGTCGCGTATTGGGCGTATAACGCGACAAATAACTTCACGCCGTATTTTATATAGCGAATTTTATTTCACATTCGCACTTACAATCACCCAACTTACAGATTCACAATTACTGCTATCTGCAGTATCACAAATACTACACTTTAAATGCCACGTTACAACTGACTGGTTGCTGGCTAACTCGGAACTAGCGTAGCTCGAGGACTACTCGGAGGTAGCT